CTGGGTATTTTCCCAGAAGATCTAAAAACATCATATCACATCGATATTTGTGCACCTATGTTCATAGCAGCACAATTTGTAATTGCTAAATTGTTGAAGCAATCCAAATATCCATCCACTGAGGATTGGATAAGAAAATTGTGGTATTTTTATATAATGGAATATTGCTCAGCTATAAAGAAAGATAAACTCAAGGCTTTTAGGTAAATGATCACAACTAGAGACCATACTTGTATATGAAATAAATCAGACCTGCATGTGCAAGGACCACACTGTCTCACTACTGTAAAACCTGAAAGAGTTAATATAAACTTGGAGGTATGATAGACATTGTGAAATGATAGGAAAATGCTCAAGGATAAAGGGCAACTGGGATGTGGGAAAAAAGAAGGGAAGGAAGGAGCAATTTTGTATGTATGTATATACAGGGTAGTTAACATAGCTGTTCTACTGTCTTCTATTTCTTTGGCAATAGAAACTGTTAATGAGTCCTTGATTGATCATTATTGCATGTCTCTATCTGTTTTCATGAGAAACCACTTTGAAGATATCAATATGTAATACAAGAAGCATTGTTAATTTCCTACCACTTTGTTTGTAACTCTGTATTGTCTGTCTGTTCTTTTGCTATTTTGTAAAAGGTTGTCTGTCTGTTAATGTTTTCCTCCTTTTATTTTAAAAATAAAAAATAATTTGCAAATAAAATTTCAATATTGATAAGGAAGGTTTAAAAAATTTAATCTTTTTGAAATATGGAGTCTGTAAATTCGAATGGAAATCCTGTATGAGTCTTTTCTTATTTTGTCATTTAGTTTTTTTGTTTAATAAAATGTTTCCTTCTAACCTGAAACCACTCCTGGGGTCCAAAGTCATTAGCACACAACACATCATGTTGATTCCTTGATTCTGAGCACTTGTTCGGACTTAGGAACAGTTTCTTCTTCAAATTAGAGGCATTTCCTTTATAATTTGTTTAAACTGTGGCATCATATTATATCTTCTGCCTTATTTTTTTTTTTTTTGGTTTTTCTCCGGTACCGGGAACCGAACTCACGACCTTGCACTTGCCAGGCAGGTGCTTTTGCCGCTGAGCTAAATCCCCAGCCCCATCTTCTGCCTTATTAACTTTAAAAATGTTAGGAGATACAATGCCTTTACTCAACCATATGGAAACAAATTTAAAATGAAAATTCTACCATTTTTTAAAATGAAGTCATCTTCTTTAAATATAATCTCTTTTCATGATTCAAAATATTCTGATAGTATATAATTTTGTAGTTGAAATACAAAGGGTCATGATTGTATACTTTTTTACTGCTATAATGTAACAATTTTTGTGTATCTAAGAAATCATTCTATCTGTAGGAAACATGGATGGCCTTTCAAAATGAAGGGAAGAACACACTTCATGTGACAACTAGACATTAAATGCAAGTTAGAAGTCCTATAGATTTTGTTCTAACATGCCTACAACCTTATTACCATGTAAACAATTGATGTTGTGAAGACAAATGTATTATTTGTAAAATATAGAATAAAGTATAGTTTTTGAACAAATACACATTAGTAATACTGAGCCATTAATAAAGTTTTATGCTGAAAAATCATACATGTAAATTAATCTTTTAAAATGTGTACTTTAGATTTTCTACTCTCCCCGGCCTTCTTCATACCTACTTCAGTACAGGCTGTTCATCTTCGGTTCAGTTGCCTCTACCTATTTTGGATGCACACAGAAGTAATCTTAAAAAAAAAAATACCCAAATAGCCTGAAGCAATGTCTTAGAAATCCACTAGAAGCTGATTTATTGTGTAAGAAAAATCTTTGTCTGCCTTCTTTAAGGAGAAACATCTGTTCATTTTTATTCCTTTTTTCTGAATATATATTGCAAAGTTTACAAGAAGCAATGAGGCCAGTTGGTCTCAATTATATAAAACAATTTTTGAACTATTAAGTACTGAAACATTTTGGTACTATGTTCAATACAATATCTTCCTGTATTACAGTTTATTAAACATTACTAACCAAGAGATGTTGAAATTCATTTTAACTTAGAGATAGAAATTTATAAATATATATTTATATATATATTTACATGTAGTTGGTAGGAAATCTTTGAAAAAATTTTAAGATTTATAGGGATTAGGAAAATAACTTTTATTTGAAATTCTTAACTATAGAGTTTAGTTTTAGTTTAAAATGGTCAGTATATTGTTAAGTTTTACTTACCCCCCAAAACTGAACAAATAGGAATTCTTGGTTTTTCTAGGGTGTCTTCAATCGTCTGATTTGAATGATTGCAGAGGGATCATTAAGCAACTACTTGGTTTATGAATTATTGTACCTATCTTCTTGTTAAATATCAAAAATCACAGACCCTGAAAAGTTCCTGCAGATGCACATGAAAACCCTCTCAAGCACTTGGCATTTACTGGAAGCCTTTTGAAGTTCCCGTAGGAAGCACATGGACAGGTGTTGCAACTGGGTGAACAGTATTACAAATCACAGCTGAGTGGGATGCCAAACCTTGATACAACAAAGGACATTATTTCATTAATATGCAATATTTCATGCTACCGATTTGCTGAGAATAAAGCGGCTGTTAGCCTGGCTTTGGACGTATATGGCATTATTTGAAGATCTGTCATGAAATACTATTGCTTTATGAGGGTTGACATACATCAAACAGTCAATACTACAACCATCTGAAAGAGCTGTTGAGCCCCATTCTGACTCTAAAGGTCAAAGACCAAATTTGTTTAAATCAGTGGAGAGAAGTTTTCTGGTGATTTACATAGAGAGGTTAAAGGAGAATTACATTTTTATAGCAGCTCTGCCCTAGGTCATGCCACGTGTTTGGTCAGGTATTAGTCTGCACACAGAACAATGGTGCCTAAGTTACTTCCTCCTTTTCCTGTGTCTCTCAGAGAGGTCCCTGAGCCAGGATTTGCATTTCATCTTGTGAAATAAAGGGCAAGTGAAGGAAACGACGGTGAGAATTGTTCCTTCTAAGCACTGAGACTCCAAGTGGCTTCATTTCTAGTTCAAAAGCAGTGCATAAGAGACTCTCACTTATTTGTACTTCATTGTTCAGAAAATATTTCACCATGTCGAGTTACTAAAGTTGAGTGGGATGGGAGTCAAGATACATTTTATGAAGTTAGTGATTTGTATTTTCAAAATTTAAATTACCTTATTAGCTGGGTACACATTTCTGAGATTTTTACAGCTGTGTAATTGTAGTAGCTTATTATTTACAGCTTGTTACCATTTGCTTCTTCATAATAGGATGCTTCAGGAAGGAGAATCAAAAGATGGTTGTCAGTGGTGACTTCCAGAGATCCAGGTAAGGGGAATAGAGCAAGGTGTGGGGAAGGTTTATTTTTTAAAAGATTATTTTTAACATGTACTTGCCCTAGATTTTCAAATAAAAGTTAATACACGAATTAAGATGTAAAAATAAAAGCTGAAAACAATGGTCTTATGCCTTAAAAATTTGCACTCTGTGACAGGAAAATGTGTTAGCCCTTTTACCCGACTTGCATGCTGTTTAATATGGAGCTTACTAGATGGGACTCTCTTGTGTGCTGTCCACCCAACAGGGCTGGCCAAAGAGTCTGAACGGAGGTTTCAGTCTCTTGTTTCCCTTCTCTTAGCATCCATAAAAATCAGTTCTCACCCTAAGGGAACACAGTTTCAAGGAGACAGTGATTTTCTGAAAGTGGAGAGTAAATTTCCTTTAACTCAGGCAAATTAGGAGGAGAGGCAGGAAAGAAACAAACCAAAAACATGTTTTCAAAGGATTGCATGTAAGAGGAAAAATAAATCACTAGACAAATTTAAAAGTGTATTGAAATTTTCTGTTTACTGTTTGTTCTTCAATGAGTACACAACAATTTTAGTTCCATCCTCTTTTCAAATTTACCAAACATTTGAAGTGAAAATGTACTCTGTGGCTTATTTTTTATGACACATTTTTGTTCGTTTGTTGTTCACTGACTAATTTGCAACCGATTTAGTGGTACTGCTTTTTGTGTGTGAATTTACTAAGTGTAGTAAATAGCTGTGTTTAATTTAATAACTATGGAATATTTTGTGTTTTCTTTTAGAGATAATATTTGTTATTTGTGTGTTAGGAGAATTGACATAGTACAGTTATAATAGTAACAATATGGACCTAAATTTGATTTAAAATTTATTATATATTTCATGCATATATCCCTTGATGCTTGAGGAAAGAAAGCTTAGTGAATACTTTGGCACTAAAGATTTGAATATGATTTGATGATTTTTGTACTACTAAACTGAAAACCTAAATGAAACACTGCAAATATTATAAATACAAATGAATAATTTATTAATGCACAGCTTCATATAGAATTCCAAATAGATCAAGATATATAATAATTATGTGAAAATTATGTGCTCCTGTGTTCAGATATGTATAAATGTTTTGGACAGACACATGGATAGCCATCTCTTTTCCTATAGGAAGGAGTGTGAGGATGGCTGGGAGTTAAAGATCAGCGTGAAACATTAACATTAATTTTACTGATTCCACTGTGGGCAAAGTATTATCTCTTTGTAGTACTGTTTCCCAGTCACTGATATTGAGCAACTTTTCATGTATTTTGGGGCACATGATCTATTTGTTTTAATGAATGATCTGTTCAAAATATTGACTGTTTTTATTGGGTCCTTTGTCTAATTGATGTGTTGCAATTCTTCATAGGTTTTATGTGCCAATCTTGGATTATGCATATGGACTTTTAGGTATTCCCCTAATTTGTAGCATGTCTTCATTTTCTTTCCTGTAACCTATAATAAAAAAAAATTGAAGTTTGAAGGATCATTTATTTCCTTTATGTTTAATTTATTTTACTTTTAATTTTTTAAAGAATTTTCTCTTAACCTGAAAATTATTTTCCTAGGATGCCTTTTGGAAGCCTTAGAGTTTTATCTTTTACCTTTAGGTCTGTAATATAATGCATTACCTTTGTATGTGGTATGTTCTAAGAATCAAGATTCATTATATCTGCACACATATCCATCAATTCTATCACCATTTATTCTGGAAAACATTTTATCCTTGATGCCTTCGCTGGAAAGAAACTGAGTATGTGTTTACAACTACTTTTAGACCTCTCCTGTCATTCATTGGCTTGTTTATTTACACAAATATTCTCACATTATTGTGGATTAATATAGCTACATTGTAAGATTGTTTTATAGTTTTATAAAATAAAAATTCTGTAGATTATTTTTCATGTACATTTTTGTGCCCTTTAAACAAGGCGATTCTATTTCTCTCTTTTCCATATGACATCATTCACTTTTGTCTTGTGACTCCTGCTCTGGCAAGGAGCTATGGTTCAAGATAAAAGTGGTTAGAGAAAGATTCAGGCATCCTCTGCTGTCTTGTTCTCTCTCTCTCACTCTCTCTCTCACTCTCTCTATCTCTTTCTCCTTATTCTAGTGATTAAGTAGAAATTCTATTCTCACTGAAAGAGTACATGTGATCCAAAATATACAATAGATATTGTAAAATGGGAAGACACTTCAAAAGAAAAGTAAAACTGGTTTAGGAGCATGGGAAAAAAAAGAAGGAAGGTAAAAGTAAAAGGAAAAAAATATGTATATATAAAAGATAGTTAAGGTAGTTATGCTGCTAATTTTTCCTAGTTCATTCAAAAGATAGGTTTGTGCTAATATTGTTTGGACAATTAAGTGCTGATATCTCATACTCTGAGGAACTAATTTAAAGACAACAATACGCAATGTGTTGATCATTGTTACCTTCCTATCATATTGTTTTGGAATTTGGTTTTTTTTTTTGTTTTTTTGTTTTTGTCTCTTTTTCTTTAAAATACAAATTAAGACAATTTTAAAAAAATTCTCTTCTCAATGAACATAAATGCCATTTGTCATAAATGTAAAAAATTTGAAGCAGTATAATTCCATTAATGTCCTCTCAACATTTTGGCTAGGTTTTTACATACATTAATTTTTCATACAAGTCCACAGTAGTTTTTTTGTTTGGTACCAAGAATCGAACTCAGGACCTTGTGCTTGCCAGGTAAGCACTAGTACTGCCAAGCTATATCCCCAGCCTACAAGTCCACAATTTTAAAAAATATTTAGGCAATAAATTGCCTTTTAAAGAAATAATAAAAAAAGAGCCCTTCTGTATGTTCCCAATATTTACCTCCTTCTGTACTTTATTCTTTCCTCTAATCCATACCCATTCTGTAATTTCCGTGTTCTTCCTGAAAAATCTCAACATGTTTTCTGCAGATTTGTACCAATAGTATTTTTTCAGGCTTTATATTTCTTCACATATTATATTCTTTATTTTTAGATATTTTCCTCTATATAGAATTTTTCATTGATTTTTTACTTGCTACGTTCTTTCGATATTTTAAGGAATTCTATTGTCTTTAATTTTTATTATTTCAAAAAATTCAATTGACATGTTTATTGCGAACATAATCTCTCTTTCCTCTTAGATGATCAGAATTTGTATGCAAAGATTTTGACTTCCTTTCTGTGTTTCTTTTCCTTTGAGGGTTTCTCCTTTCAGTATCTGTTCACTTTTACAATCTTGAACTTTGACCTGTGATTTCTAATTCAGTGAAACTGGCACTTTTTGTGTTGAGTTTTACTCTCAGGTTGACCATCAGGACAAACCTCGGCAGCCATCGAATTCGAGTGTTACTGTGCGACGCTACAAAGAGGC